AAAACGCTACGAATTAATTCCAACACCTAATATATATAATTTTATATAATTATATATAGAACATTTTTTTCCCGGTCATTTTTCTCTTTGGCGAAATTTGATATAAAATATTATGAGAATTTTTTTCCAAGGTTACGATTATTTGCTTTAAATTATTCTTGACTACATAAAAAGTTTTATATGCGTAATTATGAAATCTTATTGTTATATCCTACAGACGCCACGATTCTTTTCTTCGGCTCCACGTCACAACTATGATTGGCGTCTGCGAGACTTGAGCGGAGCCTTCTGATAACGGTCTGACAGAATTGAAAAGAAGGACAGGCTCCGCGAAAACTCGTAAATGCCAATCAACTCGGAAGGAATAACAACCTTAATGCAGGTCCGAAAAGAGACAAGATTACAAAAGACATTATAAATGCATCGAAGTCAAGCAATAGTGAAAATCTAGGTTTTGTCATCCGAGACTGACTAACAGTTTCATCTTAGAAAAACAGGCGCCACGTCGCGCCTAAAAAATCATAAAACGTATGGGATAATTTCTTCCCACGGGAGATCTAAGATCAGACGCGTTATCTAAGATCAGACTCGCGACTGACAATGGTAGCCCTGCACGCAAACCTAGTTGTGCACGGTAACCATTTGTTTACCTAGCCGTATTTTCCGCGAGAATAACAGAATTCATCATCCATCTGGAGCAATCTTGGCTCTTTAAGGAAAACCGTAAATCACTTCTTTTCTTCTCGAAACTACTCTAACGATGTACTCTAGATTAACAACAATAGGACGCTATAAAAATCGTAAATCTCGCGTGACATTGCAACTAACTTTTACATCCTAGACAAAGGACACAACGCCTTTTTTTCGGGGTATAAATAGAGGTCCCGCAGAAGCGCAGAGCGTCAGTACGAAATTTTGAATCACCCGGTCCACATCAGTGAAGTTCGCGGTCAGTTACGAGTTAACTCATTGTCTCGGGCAGTGCGGAAATTATTGAAACCCGCACTAATCACGCCAGTTTGCGATTCCATCCGAGTGCGAACTTGTGAGCA